TCTTTTTGAGACAGGGTCTCGCTATGCAGCTCAGGTTGGCCTTGAGCTCACTTTGTAGCCCAGGCTGGTCTCGAACTTGCAACAATCCTCCTGCCTCAGCCCCTGAGTGCTGGGATTACAGGCGTGTGCCACCACACCCGGCCTACTCTGAAGATTTTAAAACACTATCAAAAGGACCTGCATCTCACTTCTTCCTATCCTGGATTTATTATTAGGCTTGTCAAAATTATATCTTATCAGACTCTAGTATATTATATATGAGAGGGAAGGAAAAGAAAAAATTTTTGTGGTACTGGGGATTGGATTCAGGACCTTGTGTGTGTTAGCAAGTGCTCCACCAGAGCCACATCTTCAACCCAAAGGACAAGAAATATGAGAGTAAGGGGCAGGGCCAGATGTAGTGATTCGCACCTGTGATCCTAGCACTCAGCAGGTCGGTGTGGTAGTGCACACGTGGAATCCCAGCACTTAAGAGGCTGAAACTAAAGGGCTCTGTGAGTTTGAGGCCAGCCTGGCCTACATAGTGAATTCAAGGCCAGCCTGAACTACATAATGAGTCCCTGTCTCAAAAAACAAAACAAAACAAACAACAAAAAGTAACGGACACAGGAATCATAAAAAGATTTTTCAGTGTTAAACAAATCTCCTAGCACATGTTTACAACACATGGTGATGACCCTCACTGTCAGGGTAGGCACTTCTCCTTCGCCTCCCTCTCCTGCATTTCTAGGTCCCTTCCCCACTTGCAAAAGGCCTACCTTCATGATTCTTATTATCTAGCCTTTATTTTGCTCTTTATCTATACTTTGGATTTCTTATACAAGAGAAAACGTGTGATATTTAAGCTTGTGTGTCTGATTCATTTCACGTAATATTATGATCTCAAAATGCACCCATTTTCCTACAGACAACTCACATTTCGCCTTCTTCATGTCAGTGTACTACTCCATTGTGTATAAATACTACCTTTATCCCTTCACCTGCTGATGGACACGTGGGCTACTTCCGGGATTTATCTGTTGTGCATTGTGCTGCTCTAAACATGGGTGTGCGTGCGTCATTGTGAAGTGATGACTTTAGCTCTTTCGGGAAGATACCAAGACTCAAAATAGCTGGGGCCATTAGACTTTCTATTTTTAGTTTTTTTGAGGACCCTCCATGCTGATTTCCATAGCGGCTGTAGTAGCTCACATTCCCACCAGCAGTGTAGCGCAAGGAACCATGAAAAGACTGAACGCGGGCCAGCCGGCCTGCCGCGTGTGAGCAGCACCAGGGAGTCCATGGCCATGTCAGGGGTCTCACTTGAGCCTCTCCAGTGCACAGAGGAGCTGCCTGTCCCACGGGTCAGGGTGGGGCACAGGTGGGCGTCACGTGGAGACAGGAGCTGCAAGGTCAGTGCTGAGGGGGCCTGGCAAAAAAGCAACATCTTATTTTTACTTTGTTGTTGTCCCCATTTCCACTCTACAGTTCTATAGATGTCGTTTATTGGCTTTTTTTTCTTTTTGAGACAGGGTCTCGCTATGCAGTGCAGGCTGGCCTTGAGCTCACTTTGTAACCCAGGCTGTTCTCGAACTCACAAAGATCCTCCTGCCTCAGCCCCCTGAGTGCTGGGATTACAGGCATGTGCCACCACGCCCAGCTACCGTATGGTATTTTTTTTTTACCATATGGTATTTAAGCTTGTGTGTCTGAGTTATTTCACTCATCACTATATTTTCCTACAAATGTCTTAAATGTCGTTCTTTTTATTTATTTATTTATAAACTTAATTTTGTTCTAGATTATTCTATTTATTCCTTTCAGACATACATAATGATCACATTCATCATAGCGAATTTGTACCTGTACCTGAGATATCTTGCTTCTTTCTCTCCCATTCCCTTACCCTCCCTCCAACCCTTCTTCCCCTCCTTATTTACAAAAGCTTTGCTTCACTTTATCCTTCTTTTGTTTTTTTCTTTTCCCTTCCTTCCCTCTCCTCTCCCTTATCCTCTTCTCATTTGAACATTTTCTTTCCATTTCCCAATAGTTATTATACATTTTGGTCTTTATTTACATTTTCAGTTTCTCACACCAGAGAAACAATGCAGTAAACATGCATGTCTGGTTTATTTTACTTAACAATATGGTCTTAAGTTGTATCCATTAACCTAGGACTGTCTCAAGCTTATCCTTTATGGCAGAGTAGTGTTCTTTTTTTTTTTCTGAGACAGGGTCTCTTTATGCAGTTCAGGTTCGCCTTGAACTTACCATGTAGCCCAGGCTGACCTCCAACTCTCAGTGATCCTCCTGCCTCAGCCTTCTGAGTGCTGAGATTATAGGCATGTGCCACCATGCCTAGCTCTTTTTTCTTTTCTTTTCTTTTATTTCATTTTTTAGAGACAAGGTCTCACTATGTAGTTTAGGCTGACCTTGAACTCGTTACGTAGCCCAGGCTGGCCTCAAACTCACAGCAATCCTCCTGCCTCAATCTCCTGAGTGCTGGGATTACAAGTGTGTACCACCACATTGGGCTGACAGAATAGTATTCTATTGTATAAAAACCCCCTCATCCTCTTTATCCATTCATCAGTTGATGGGCATTTGGGTTACGGTGTGATTGAGGTTTACTTTCCAAGATTTAGCTATTACAAACTGTGTTGCTATAAACATGGGTGCACATATATTGCTGTGACACAGTGCTTTTAATTCTTTCTGGAAGATACCCAGAAGGGGAATAAGCTGGCTTAAATGGAACCTTTGGTTTTAGTTTTTTGAGGAATCTTCACACTGATTTCCACAGTGGTTTCACCAATCTACACTCCCACGAGCAGTGGAGAAGGGTTTCTTTTCCCCGTAGCCCCTCCAGCACTTGTTATTGGTTGATTTCTTGATGACAGCCATTCTTTCTCAGCATTGTTTTAATTTGTATTTCTCTAATGGCCAGAGAGGTTGAGTGCTTTTTTACATATTTGTTGACCATTTGTATTCCTTCCTCTGTGAAGTGTCTGTTCATTTCTCGACTGGATCTTTAATTTTAGGAGGTTTAATTTTTTTTAGTTCTTCATATATTCTAGATATTAGTCCTCAGAGGTGTGGTTAGCAACATTTTTTTCTCATTCTGTAGTTGCCTCTTCGCTCTGTTGATTGATTCTTTTGCTGTACAGAAGCATTTTGATTGGATATAATTCCATCTGTTGATTCTTGCTGCTATGGTGCAGTGAGGTTCTGTTTAGAAAATCTCTTCCTGTACCTATGTCTTCAAGTGTTTTACCGATTTTATTTTCCAATGAAGTGGGGAAAAAACCAAACCGATGCCATGTTGTACTCAGGCACCATCTTAGAGCTTAAGTTTCTGTTTCCTTAAGTTTGTTTCTGGTAAATGTTATCATAGGTACCTAACCCGATACCGCTCCATGCCTTGTCATAAGACTGCTTTTTCCCTACTTAAAATGTCAAACTCCTTTGTCCCTTTGTTACAAGCTAGGCCCCTGCTTTGTAGGACTATTTCTGTATCTGCACTAAATCATATCAGAAAAAACCTAGTTATCTCCCTAGACCTGGAACTAGACCCGGAACTAAAACTGTATAAATATTTTCCCCTCCTGCCCTTCGGGGTTGGTGCTTGGTCATGTACTAGGTGCCCACCGCTGGCTGTAAACTTGCTTCTTTCTGCATCTGGCCTCTGTGGATGACTCAGTTAAATAAGTACATTTGCCACAACACCAGTAGGTTTTATGTTTCTATTTTATTGTTTAGATCTTTGATCCATTTTGATTTTAATTCAGTATATGGTGAGAGATAAGGGACCAGTTTCTATCTTCTGCACACAGACCACCACTTGTTTACCAGACTATCTTCTCTCCAACATATGCTTTTGACTCTTCTGTTGGATAAATGTGTCTGGAGAAATATTCTCAGTTCTGTTCCGTTGATCCATGTGTCTGTCTCTGTCCCAGCACCATGCCATTTTTATCACCACTGCTTTGTAGTACAGCTTCGCGTCAGGCGCTGCTGCTCCTTCTGCTTTGCTCTTATTGCCCAAAATTGCTTTTGCTATTCTGGTTTTCTTCTGGTTCCATCTGAATTTTAGGATTCTTTTCTCTAGATTTGTAAAGTATGGTTTTGGTATCTTGATTGAGACTGCATCAAATCTGTACAATTTCGGGAGTAGGACTTTTCGACAATCTGACTTTGTCTATCCAGGAGCAGGGGACATCTTTTGATTTTCTGATGTCCTCTTCGATCTCTTTTGTGGAGTACTGTAGTTTGTAGAGGACTTCCACCTCCATGGCTAGGTGAATTCCTAGGTATTTCATGTTTGAAGCTGCTGTGACTGGTATTATTCTCATATTTCTTTCTCATCCTGTTCATTATTGGGGTACACAGTGCTAATGACTTTTGTGTGTTGACCTTGTATCTTGCTCCATTTCTGAAGTTTGTTATTAGTTCTAAGAGTTTTTTGGTGGTGCTCTTTGGGTCTTCTATATAGAATACAGTGTTATCTGCAAATAGGGATCACTTGAGTTCTTCCTTTTCTATGTCTGGATTATTTTTTCCCCAGCTCAAAATGAGGATCTGAAGCTTGAAGTCAGCAACATCCTTCAGAAGCATAAGCAGGAGGTAGAAATGCTCCAGAGGGCAGCCGCCGTGGCCCAACCTCCCGACAGGCTGCCTGAACCAGCTCTGCTCCCAGACCTGTCCCCAGAGGCAGCTCAGAGAGAGGTAAGGACTGTCCGCTGCACGGCGTCTCTGGCAGGTGTCGCCAGGAAAGACAAAGAGTGTGGAAGACGTAGTTGTTTGTCCTGGAAGGACTATGCATGCAAGGGTAGGAGGAGGCTGGGAGTAGAGTTTCAGAAGCTCCACCTGCATTTCTCACCCTTTACAGCACACACATTGTAGACTCGTTCTCAGGTGAGGACCTGAGATGCTCTGCTGATGAGCAAACCTCCAGGAAAGGCCGTGTAGCCACTCACTGCTGCGTGGGGTTGAAGCCGGGGGAGCAGAAGCTTGTGATGCAGCACGCACCCTCTTCTGCTGTGCAGTAAATTCGGCTGCTGGCATCTCACTGCTGTATGGAGAATCGTTATTACTATACCTGTCACATTTGTTCTGTTTTATCTTACTTTGGAAGATTGAAGTGCACTCTACCATTGAGCTACACCCCAGCTCTTTTTATTTTGAGACACGGCCTCCCTAAAATTCCCTGAGACATGAACTTGGATTCTCCTGCCTCAGCCTCCCGAATAGCTGGGCTCCCTGGCATTTGCCACCATGCCTGGCTATCCCTGACATTTTTGTACCCTATCTTACCAATGCTTTTCCCGCTCTAGCCTAGTGAACCCAGAGTTCAAGAAGAGAAGAAGCTGTCCCAGATGCTGAGTGAGCTCCGAGTATCCCACGCAGAGACCACCCTAGAGCTGGAGAAGACCAGAGACATGCTGCTCCTGCAGCACCAGATCAACGCGTGCTACCAGGTGCAGGGAGCGGGGACAGAGAACGGGCACTCTCAGCACCGGGTGGCATGCAGACCTGGGTTTCCAGGGCTGATGCCGGCGATGTGCCGTCCTGTGCAGACACGAAGCGCTGGCCCCGGGAGAGCTTGAGGACTCACACCTGCCACGGCACCTTGGCATGGAAGCCAGGGCAGGGCCGGCTGACAAACGGCAAATGTGGAGCTTCTGGGCGCAGATTCCCCCAGTGTCAGGAAAACTAAGCAAAGGCACCCATAGTGCATCCTCCCTGGAGGGTTCATGCGGAATCTTTCCTGCTAGGGCGATAGCAGAGTCTTCTTTACCCACAAGGGCCACCTGTTGATCCCGGATGTTCGGTTCTGGGCCCGGGGGAGAGAAAAGTTGAGACATTATTTTGTTTCAGGAGGAACTGGAAGCCATGGTGACAAAAGCTGACAGCGAAAGTAAAGATCACAGAGAAAAACTGGAGCGGCTGAGTCAGCTCCTAGACCTGAAGAACAACCGGATCAAGCAGCTGGAAGGTATCTTAAGAAGCCATGGACTCCCGACATCTGGCAAGTCTAATGCCTTGTTCTCCTGGGCGTGCGCGCACACACTGCGGGCCCGCACCCCCGGCGGCCGTGGCTGCGGCACGTCCCTCCTGCCCTGCACCCTGCCGCCTTTGCTGCGCTTGCTCCCCTTTGTGCCACGCGCCTGTCTTTCTCTGATTTCTCTGGAGAGTTTGAACTGGCCCAGCAGCTGCTTCCAGGGCTGGACTATACTCTGAGAAGGAGAATCGGGAACAAGAGTGGCAGCTTCTCCCTCAGTCTCTCTCTATCATTTCTTCAATCCGAGACCACAAAGCAGCCTTTGTCAGGTAATAGGCCGTCAGCACTCATTTTCCATCATGTTTTTCTGGGATTTCTCTCTAAAATTTTGTTGTAGTTTGTGGCTATCGACAGTGACAGGCCAGTTGTCAGTGTGTTTCATATTGCGGTACTTCCTCTTCTGAGCGTAATTACTGCTGGCCAGGAGCTGGTCCCAGCCTTGCTTGTCAGGAAACTAGACTTTTGTTATGCTCAGCAGTGAGAGACCTCACTCACATTAACCAAATGCGCCAGAGACTGATATTTAAACCAGAATGTAAGCCACAGTAGAGGCTATTCCATTGCTGCCATCAGTATGTTTGGAGCCACGTTCAGGGCATCTTCTTTCCGGCAAGAGATTGTGTAATCAGTAAGCTTCTTAGTAAGCATAGATTTACAGCAAAAGGATATATCATTCTGGGGCATGTAGGTCTGTGCCAGTGTGAGTCTGGTCAAAGGTCACTGCTAGATAACAAAGGAAACCCCAAGGCCATAGCACTGGTGCACACCTGTAATTCTGGCACTCGGGAGGCTGAGGCAGGAGGATCATGATGAGTTGGAAGCCAGCCTGGGCTACATGGACAGCCTGAATTACGTAATGAGACCCTTTCTCATAAAACCAAGCCAAACCAAACCAAACCAACCAAAGGAAATTCCCTCTTGGATTGAAATTCTCATGTCTTTCGGATTCAAGGACTTCTCTCAGGGCAGTGCAGGATAAATATTCTTACTTGCTGGGAAGATTGTTTTTCTTTAACTTAAAGCTCTTTAGATACTGCTAAAAATAAAAAATTTTTTCATTTGTTTGTTGCTGTTGCTTTATTTTTTTGTTTTTGTTTTTTTTGGTACCGGGAATCGAACTCAGGACCTTATATTTGCCAGGCAGGCAATTGTGCCACTAAACTAGATCCCCAGCCTGTTGCTTTGTTTTGTTTTAGCAGGGTCCTACTTTGTTTTCCAGGCTGGCCTTGAACTCACAGTGATCATCCTCCCTCAGCCTCCCCAGTGCTAGGATTACAGGCGTGCGCCCCATGGATAAGAGTTTTTCATTTGTTTACAGGTTATTTGTATTATTTCTTTTGAGACTTGCCTGTTCCTGTCCTTTACCCATTTCTTAGTGGTATCTAGCTGATTTGCATGTAGTTCTTTATATACTAAGACTATAATCCTGTGTCATATAATGCAAAAATTTGAATATATTTTGTTATAGTAATCTAACAATTAAGAGATTGTTAACCAAGTAGTCAATAGTCAACCTCTATTTTATTTTATTTTATTTTATTTTATTTTGAGACAGCATCTTGCTATGTAGTTCAGACTGACCTTGAACTCACTATGTAGTCCAGGCTGGCCTCTAACTCCCTATGATCCTCCTGCTTCAACCTCTTGTATGCTGGGATTATAGGCATGCACCACCATGCCCAATTGTATTTCGTTTTTTAATATGAGAACATTCTGGGGGCTGGGGTTTAGCTCAGTGGCAAAGCGCCCGCCTGGCAAGCGCAAGGTCGTGAGTTCGGTTCCCGGTACCGGAGAAAAACCAAAAAAAAAACAAAAAAAGAAAAAAAGAGAACTGAGCCGTCCACGTGGCAACTTCCCCGTGGGGAGTGTGATCGCTATGCACTGCAAACTATACCAATAAAAAAATATGAGAACATTCTGATGTATCCAGAACATTTTATTCAACTGATTTAACACTTAAGCTATTCATCCTCAACTCACTGTGAAGACTTACATACTCCCCAATGTGAAATAAACTATAGAAGTTTCCAGTTGATAGAGCCATGCATGGTGGCACATGCCTGTAATCCCAGCACTGGGGAAGCTGAGGCAGGAGGATCACACTGAGTTTTTTTTTTTTTCCAGTACCAGGAATCGAACTCATGACCATGTGCTTGCCAGGCAGGCGCTGTGCCGCTGAGCTAAACCACCAGCCCCTGGATCACACTGAGTTTGAGGCCAGCCTGAGCTACATAGGGAGTTCAAGGACAGCCTAAACTGCATAGCGAGATCCTGTCTTGAAAAACAAAAAACACCAGTGATTTAGCTCAGTGGTGCAATACCTGTCTGGTAAGTGTGAGGTCCTAAGTTCAATTCCTGGTACCCTCCCCCGCAAGAATTTGCCGGGTGTGGTGGTGCACGCCTGGAAACCTAGCACTTCGGAGGCTGAGACAAGAGGATCATTGCAAGTTCAAAGCCAGCCTGGGCTACAAAGTGGGTTTAAGACCACCCTGAACTGCATAGCGAGACCCTGTCTCAAAAAGACAAAAAAAACAAAAACAAAAAATAACAACAACAAAAAAGTTTCCGATTGGTTGTACACAAAAGTAAATCCCAGATTGGTACTTTTGCTGTGTCTTCACATCCCACTGGCAGTATTTTCAACGTCTTCCCGAAAGTCTCCTCTCTCACCTTTTACTTATTACCCTGTTACTCAAAGTGGATTTTTTTACCCTCATATGATAAACCAGTTACACGGGGGGAGCCCAGTGTAATTTAGCATGTCCTGAGCCTGTGACTTACTATTCTCTCCACAGCCGGCATGGCATGCGCTCAGGGGTGCTCACGCTTTGTGTTCCCCGCGCTTCTCTTGTGAAACACTGACTACCGAGAGTGTTGCAGCAGAACTGAGCCCAGGGAAGGAGCGATGCCCAGAAAGTCAGGAGGCAGTGAACAGCTTTATTTTCACTGGTGGTCCTGGCTGGAATAACTTCCAGCAAAAGCCAGGCTATGAGTGTCTGCGAGCCAGCATTTTTTATGGGGCATAAGCAGGGGTTACAAAGGCGGGACAGGACAGCCCGGCAGTTCTGATTAGCTAGCAGGGCAAGATCAGCGGTTACAAGGCTAGATGAATGACCATCGGTTACAATCAGGCCTCCTGTATGTTCCGTTACGCTCTTGTGGTTAGAGGTCAAGAAAGCAATTACAGAGCCATGAAGCAGTTACAGAGCTAGGCAGCATCAAAGAGAACGAAGTTTTTAAAATTTTTTTTTCCTTGTACAGTTCTTCCCTTTTAGTAGGACTTTGCTAGAAGCCAATCCAGTGTTGTCTGTGGGATGAAATGTTTTCTCGTTTCAGTGTCTGTTTGCCAGTCACCCCTTGGTACCTCCTGTATCAAGCAGGCATTGGATTATTTGGCCATGAATTCAGATCTCCTGGTTGTCATTCTGTTGCTTTTCTTTTTGAATCGCTTAATCTCAAGTTGGACTCCCACCATGTCCCTATTCTCCTCTCCCTGTCCTCCTGCAAACGAAGAAGCACTCCCTACTCTTTAATGCATAGGCAGTTTCTCTCACCTCTAGAACAGCTCAAAGATGTTGCTTATGGCACCCGACCGCTGTCATTATGTCTGGAAACGATGCCAGCCCCTGGAGATGAGAATGGAGTGGATGTTTCTCTGCTGCATCCGAGTGAGAATCTTTTCGAACTGCACATCCACCAGGCTTTCCTGACATCCGCTGCTCTGGCTCAGGCTGCAGACACACAACCCACCACTTTCTGCACCTATGATTTCTACGATTTTGAAACCCACTGCACCCCACTGTCAGTGGGGCCGCAGCCCCTCTATGACTTCACCTCCCAGTACGTGGTGGAAACCACTTCCCTTTTTGTGCACTATCTTCGAGGGGGTTCTGCCCGGCTTGATTTACACCAGGCTGTGGCCAGTGAGCACCAGACCCTTGCAGCTGCGTGGATTTGCTTTGACAAGGTGCTAGAGACCGTGGAGAAAGCCCGTGGCTGGGCCACGCTTACTGGTAAGTGCTTCCTGCAGCTCTCAGGACCAGTGCAGGGTTTCTCCACGCCTGTAGCTGCCCTGCTCGCGGCTTCCCATTTGCGCCTCTGCCTTTGCCGCACCGTCTCTGTCCTCCATGCCTTTTGCTTTCCGCTACCCAGGAGCTGGTGGAGAAGACTTCGGAGTGCTAGAGTACTGGGTGAGGCTACGCCTGCCCCTCAAAGCCAGCCTACAGGCATGCAGTAAGCGGAAGAAAGCCCAGGCCTACCTGTCAGTCAGTGTGCACGGAGCCAGGGAGGCCCCGGAGAGTGAGGTGAGAGAAGGCTGTGTCCGCACATCTCCAAGGAGCCGCGGCAGCAGCCCTGGAGAGCAGCTCAGTCTCCAGTCTCCATGTCTGCTTGCTGGATGTGAATGAAGGAGAAAAGCTGCCGTAGAAAACTAGCCAGGTGCTTCCCTTGCTCAAGGCCGAGTGTGAAATAAAACCCTGCCCTTGGAGCTGCGACCTCTCCCCGCTGTGCACAGACCAGCTTTTCTGCGCTGTTCTCTGGGGTGGGGCCTGAGCACGAGCCTCTCCCCCAGCAGCCACTGGAGCTGGGGCCGCGCGAGGGAAAGGCCTGGGGTTTCCCTGTGGCCAGCTCAGGACAGTGGCTTGCGAGGCCGTAGCTCTCCCTCATCTGAGTGCAGGGCTTCACCGCAGCAGCGCCCTCAGTACGAGGCCACCCTCTTTCCAGGCCAAATCGGACACCTTGGACCCTCCGAATGAGCTGCGGATTGAAATCACCAGGTGCTGTGGCCTCCGGAGTCGACGGCCGGGAACTCAGCCCAGCCCGTATGCCATGTACCGCTTCTTCACCTTTGCTGACCATGACACTGCCATCATCCCCGCCAGTGGCAGCCCCTGCTTTAAAGACCAAGCCCAGTTCCCAGTGCTGATGAGCTCTGAGCTGGATCAGTACCTGAGGCGGGAGGCCCTGTCCATATACATTTTTGATGATGAAGACGCAGAGCCTGGCTCTTACCTCGGCCGCGTCCAAGTGCCCTTGCTGCCTCTGGCACACAATAAGCCCATTAAAGGTGGGCGCTCAAGGCTTCTCAGCCATACACTGTCCCCGGTGTTGTCTCTTTGTCCTGGTTCTCCTTTCCTTTGATTACTTGCTTGGAACAGTCTCTCCTAAAGCCTGCTGAGAGGACTTCAGAATATCATCAAGAGCAGTGGCGAGAAGACTTGGAGCTCCAGTCCTCCTACAGAAACTCAGCTTCTGCTGCCTTTTAGCGGAAAGCAGGTGCCCAAGGGGGTCGGCCTCCAACCTGACTTCCACCCGCTTCTCGGCAAAACCTCACTGTGGTGCTTACCAGGGCGACTTTTTTACTTATGGCCCATGGTTTCTCAGCACGTGAATGCATCCTGGGTAGAATTTAACCCGTACATAATTCTCTCACTTCTGTTAGCCTTTAAACCCAAGTAAGGAAGACTCTCATGCCAGACTATGAGAAAGGCAAGATTTTTGGATGTGGTGCTGAGCTCCATACTGTCCTCCCTTATTTTGAGCCCAGCATTGTGGAGTGCACCCATGAGGAGTCACCTCTCTGGCAATAGCCCCGGGAGAGTGAGGCAGGGGGACCCACGCTCTCATTAGGAAGTGTGGATAGTTACAGCCAGTATCAACCATATGTACCAAGATTCTGGGTGCCCCAGGAAGTGGTGAAGCGTCTCTTGTCCCAGTATCACAGTTGCTAAGCAAAAATGGAAAATCTTGGCACTTCTGCTCAAAACTTCTTTAGCAAAGAGAACAGGCTGTGTGAACTGCCTCTTGGTCAGTGTTACAAAGCAGAAGGAGAGGCAAAAAGCCATTTTGCTGAAGTTTTTGAGTTTTCTTGGATCACTCAAGGGTCAGTGTTGGCCTTCTTGGTTTGTCTGTGGCATGGGAGGCCCTTGGTGGCAGCAAAGGTGGTGCCGTCGTGCGCGGTCCCGTGACATGGGAGGCCCTTGGTGGCAGCAAAGGCGGTGCCGTCCTGCATGGTCCCATGGCATGGGAGGCCCTTGGTGGCAGCAGTGGTGATGCCGTCCTGCTCAGTGGCTGGATGACTGATGACAAGCAAGCTGTGTCCCTCACCATTCCTCCTCTGACTTCTGCTTCTAACCTGGAAAAACGTGTCTTCCCCTGTTTGTAGTCTAAGTGCACTGCCGTTTTGTGTTCCTTCTGAGTGTACTATCATCACAATGGTTATTTCATAGTGTTAATTACTAGTAGGGTATGATGACGTAAACATGGGCAGAGCAGGCCATAGTGGCACACGCCTGTAGTCCCAGCACTTAGAGCTGAGGCAGGACAATCACTGCAATTCTGAGGCCAGCCTGGGCTACAAAGTGAGTTCAAGATCAGCCTGAACTATGTAGTGACCCCATCTCAAGAAAACAGAGGGGTGTAGATAAGCTGCTCATAAGTGCTCACTTGTCTATTTTGTGTGATCAGGTTCTAGTGATGTCTGTATGTCTCTCAGGTGATTTTAACCTCACTGACCCTGCCGAGAAACCCAGTGGATCCATTCAGTTGAAGCTGGACTGGAAGTCTCACTACCTCCCTCCCGAGGGCCTCCTGAAACTGGAAGCTCACACTAAGGTGAGTGATGCCAAAGACAGATCTCACCTGCAGAAATAAGGGCTTTTCTTCCCCAGAAAGCAGATCTCTGCCAATCCTATGGAGCAGATTTGATGGGGTCAGTTATTTTATTTTCATTTTTATTTATTTATATTTGGTACTGGAAATCAAACTCAGGACCTCATGCTTGCCAGGCAGGTGCTGTGCCGCTGAGCTGTATTCTTGGCCCCAAGGGGTCAGTTGTTAAAATTGGAATGAGTGAAATTTATCCTGTGAATGTTATATGTAATGCAAACTTAACCTGGAAGTTACTGATGAAACAAAAGTACCTTGGGTTTTACTGTGGGACAGAGAGAGAGCATCCCTCCGTTCTGTGGCCAGCAAGAAATGAAATCTAATGCAGGTTCACAAAGCCCTTTCCCGATAGGGCTGGGGATTTAGCTCAGTGGCAAAAGCACCTGCCTGGCAAGCACAAGGTCATGAGTTCGGTTCCCGGTACCAGAGAAAAACCAAAAAAAAAAAAAGCCCTTTCCCAAGTGTCGAGTTTGTTAAACTGTCATCCGGTGAGACTTTCTCCACTCTCCTGTTTAGAACCGGCTGTCGCCAGCTGAGGTTCCCAGCAGAGATGACCGGTCCCAAGCGAAGAGAAAACCTCTTCTGATGGGAGCCAGGAAGGAAAAGGAACGCCAGGTTGTGAGCTACTCAAGAAGAAAACATGGCCAGAGAATAGGTATCCAGGGGAGGAGCAGACTGGAGTACTTCAGTCGTAACATCCTAAGTGGAGACGCGATACAAGTAAGAGCTCGGAGCCTGAGGAGTAGGGGCTGTGTGTCTCCACGTGTGTTGTTCCCAGAGAGGTGGAAGGTCCACACGGTGGGCAGCAGTCATGGCTATCAGCGGCCAGCACACATCTCCACAACACGGGCAGTTTCCTTTTTGTGCGTGTTTGTTTGTTTTGAGACAAGGTCCTGCTGTGTAGTTCAGGCTGGCCTTGAACACACTTTGTAGCCCAAGCTGGCTTTGAACCCATGGCAGTCCACCTGCCTCAGCCTCCCGAGTGCTGGGATTACAGGTGTGCGCCACCACATGGGGCTCAGAGGCAATTTTTTGAGAGCTTGTTTGGCGGCTCTGGCAGGAGAATGCAGTTGCCCATGCTGCCTGGACCGGAAGGGTCCTCCTCTCTGTGGGAGGTGCCTGTTAGGCTAGGGCACAGCTCCGGGAGGACACACACGCTGCGGGAGGGAGGGAGGGCACGCCGCTCAGCCAGCCAGATCAGCCAGTCTACACTGGTGGCAGATTTTGCAGTCAGACTGCTCTCACACCCAAACACAAGTAACTTCTTAAACCCTTGGGCTGTCTGCTTCATTTCAGTATAATTTAATTCAGCATAGTGTATACTCTAGCACTAACACAGAGAATTTATTTTACTCTTTTTTTTTTTTTTTTTTTGGTACCGGGAATCGAACTCAAGACCTTGCACTTGCCAGGCAGGCGCTTATGCCACTGAGCTACATCCCCAGCCCCGAGAATTTTTTTTAAAACAAGTACTAAATGTTAAAAAGTAAAAAGTCCTTGTCTGGGCCTTGCTTACTGGTAAGTGCTGCCCGCTTCCACAGCTCCGAGGACCAGTGCAGGGTTTCCTGAAGCCTGCAGCTGCTCTGCCCTTATTCACCCTCTGCCCTTGCCACGTCATCTCTGTATTCCCCAGAGGAAACCAAGACATCACCACTTACACAGCATTGCACTTGTTGTGAAGCAGGTAAACTACACAGACTGGAAGTTCTCGGGGCTTAAGATCTCAAAAGATGACGGTTTCAACACTCAGCTGGAGGAAGAAGAAACGGCATGGTCGCACTCAGCACTGAGACAGAAGGAACCCCCGCACCCTGTAAATGGTACTGTCTTTCTGAGAATCTAAATTTCCATTTAATCATTTCATTGTTTTGTAAAACACAGTTATTTACTGGCATTATCTTACAATGCAAAGTTTTATTGGAAAATTAATGCATAGGCCCCTCGGCCTCACTGGTGACAGGTGTGAAGGTTACCCCAGCAGACCTGCCGCTGTCCACGAAAGTGTGTTTTGGTGCATTTATAGTTAGCTTAGCTGGGTGTGGTGGTGCATGCCTATAATCTCAGCACTCAGGAGGCGGAGGAAGGAGGATTGTTGTGAGTTCGAGACCAGCCTGGGCTGCAAAGTGAGTTCAAGGCCAGCCTGAGCTGCATAGCAAGATTCTGTCTCACAAAATGCTAATTTGGTCCAAGTTCCTGTGAGTTACGGTTACAAAGAAACAGAAAGATCCTACTGGTTCATATGTGATGTGCACACGTATTTATTTCTTTATTTTTGCCGTGCTGATTGAACCCAAGGTCTTCCCACTGAGCTACATCGCTGGCCTTTTTTCTTTTTTTATTTTGCAACAGGGTCTCACTGAGTCTCTGAGGTGCCCGGGCTGGGCTCAAACTTTTGATCTTCCTGCCTCAGTTTCCCAGAGTGCTATGTTGGAGCATTTGCAAGGGGTGACCCTGCCAGCTGTTGGGATTCCAGCCTGCTATGATGAGACACAAAACACACAACTATGTCTACTAGCTTCATGGAGATAAAAGCTGAATTTTTAAATTTCAGGAAAGAACTAGTGCTTTGAAAGCCACTTGTGGTGACACATGCCTGTAATCCTAGCACTTGGGAAGCTGAAACAGGAAGATTGCCACAAGTTTGAGGACAACGTGAACTACATAATGAGACCTTATCTCAGGAAAAAAAAAAAAAAATCCCAGGCCTCAAGTTTGAAGACAGCTTGGGCTACATAGTAGGTTCAAGGCCAGCATGAACTACATAGTGAGACCCTGTCTCAAAAAAAAAACAAAAAACAAGCAACAACAATGAAAAAGAACTAGAA